GCTAGAATTGACTAAGAAATCATAGCCTTCTACAAGCTGTTTATTCATGTACTACGCCTATTACTTGCCTCCAGAAATTTACAAAAAAATTCCAAAGAAGAAATATGTGATGGATTGACACTGGTACTTACCATTTTAGAAAATGTGCTTCTCAGGGTAAACTAATTTTAAAGAATTTCCTTATACAGGACGTGCCCGTTGTCCTCTAAGATCTCATATGTGTCAATTCATTCAAAACTGAATGAATTTAGTGATACCTACTGTTCGGTCAAGAGCTTCAAGCTCAGAAGAATCAGACAAAAATGCCAGTGTTAAATATATTCCCACTTTCTTTAGGAGGTTAAGCAAGTTTAGATAATAGCTTATGCTATTTACTATCATCAACATAGATTACTTATGATACCTTTAACTGTAATTAAATAAACAAAGTTTAATTAAATAATTAAATAAACCAGAGTAGAACAAATGTATACAGCAGCGCAAATCAGGTCTGACAAACCCAAGTACTAGAAATCACCCTGAGGTTTAAATACGTGTCAGTTTCGAGGAAAATACATTCTCTGTGTTATTTGGCATCTTAATAATTCGCATCATTAGAACAGCCCTGCTTGTCACCAGAGCGCAGCACTGCGGTGTCTCAGGCTCATGAACTTTCCATCTGTTCTCATTCTAGTGACCATCAAACCTGTCTGCGATGTTCCCTCCTTCAGGCAGAGGGGCCCTCTGGTCTGCGATGGTTTCAGGGACTGCGAGCACGGCCAGGATGAGCACAACTGCACGCAGAGTGAGCGAGGGAGGGAGATCCGCAGGGCGGGGCTGCTCTGCCCTTAGAGCGCGGCCGGATCACAATCCCAACACCTCTGCTGGCTAGGGGGATCATCATCTTGCCCTGGTTTTCCCCAGAACATTTTCAAATTTATTACTGGAATCCCTTGTCTTAGGAGTGCCCTCTGTCCTACACAACATGAGGCAGCTGTTTCATTTAATTGGTGTGTGTGTGTGTGTGTGTGTGTGTATGTGTGTGTCTGTGCATGCACACGCTCATGTGTGCCTGAATGAATCCCAGTGGGTTGTCCTTGTTTATGTGCTCTGAGCACTACTGAGGTTGCAGGACACTGAGGTCCAGATGTAGAGGAACTGGCGGCAGATGTTGAGGGACATCTATTCCGAGCCCTGTAGAAAAGCAGGCCTCCAGGTTCATGGACAAATGCAGTATAATTTACAGTAAA